GTCTGGAAGTGCTTAATTCCAAGTTTTCAGGTGAAAGGTGTTTTCTAAGTTTGTTGTCAAAAATAAATTTTGATCCGTTTATCTTTTCCCAGAATCACAAGAACTGAGAATATTTAGAGCATCTTTTGGTTGATACTGTTTTCCTCGATTCCAACTTAGATCATCTGTTAGCTAGGATATATTCCAAAAACACATCAAGCATATCATAGGCAATCTACCAGATTTCTGTATCATAGATAACATCACTGTTCTCTGGAAAACTAAACGTGCATGATAGAAATCTCCTTCAGCCCATAGAAGCAGAAAAAAAAAGCAAGGTTTAGTTTTTGACAGCAAAAAAGTGCCAAATCAGCACAAGCGAAAACAACTTCAAGTTAATCTACTCTTCAGAAGGCATTAGACCTGATCCTACCAAAATAGAAGAGTATAAAATATGCTCCACCACAAACCTTGGGTATCTCAGTTTCTTTTAACATTTTCATCCCTATATCTTCCAAATTTTGTGACCAAAGTATTTCCTCTTTAAAATTTGCTGTACGAAGATGTGCCTTACATTTGGCAAAAGGTCACCAATTTATCTTCTAATCTGTCAAGAATGCTTTATCTTCCAGCAAATGTATTCTTTAATATATAATCCAGCCAAGCCTTCTATGTTGAAAGTGGATGTGTTCCAGGAAGGCCTTGAAGCATGTTTATTCCAGGGTGATAAGTCTATTGCATTTGGTTGTAAAGTCATTACAACTAGGGCAAACTACTCCAACATGGAAAGGGAAATTATTGCTTTAGTTTTCAGAATACAAAAATTCTACGCATATTGCTTCAGCAAATAATTCATTGGTATGAATAATCACAAACCACTGGAAATGATCTGTCAAATCTCTTACACATGCATGTCCATAACTGCATCTACTTATGAATGATTTTATTGTCTCATATTTTAGTGAAAAATACACTGAAAAGCTTCCACTGTCATCATGATCTAGTGCCATTTTGAATAGTTTAAGAATTATGGGAAAAAATATAGTTTAAAGAGAATCCATAACCCTTCTGCCACTGCTTTGCCATTGCCAAACCCAACCAACGTCCCAGTCACTGTTTCACAGGTGTTGTCTTTAGCTATTGGGCCTACCTCTCTGATGTCGCCTCTGCCGATGTAGCAGTCGATACCGGGTCCTTTGCTCAAAAATCCATGTATACAAGTATGGCACAAACCAGGCTTTTGCATGACTATTCCTGATGCTGTACACAGAATTCCAAATCCAGCTAAGAACAGAAGTTTGAAATAGAACAAATTGCTGGAGCAACAGATCTGGCAGCACCTATAGGAGAGAAAGTCAAGTTAATGTTTTGAGTCCACTGACCCTTTTTCAGAATGTAAAGTGTCAGAAGAATCCCAGATATAAGTGGGAAAGGACTGATCAAGGACAGAGAAAATTGAGTCAAGGTAGGAAGACCTAAGTTTTGTGAGGCAAAAACAGGTCTGCCCAGGCAGTCGTGTTTGCAGATTTTTGTAAGAAGGTAGAAGCAGCAGTAGAAGGTTGGGGTACTAAGCGCTTGGAGGCTGTCAATGGGAGATCCCCAGATAAAATGACATTAGTGACCTTTGTGGACAAATAGCCTTATGTTTGATGGTGGGGTCATGGCCTGGGGGAGACCGCAGGAGGTGTCTGAGAGTTGGCACTCAACTTCCGATGTAGCAGTCAATACGTTAGACAACAACAACACCACCCTTATCAGCAAGCTTGATTACAAAGTCAGGGTTGGATCTGAGAGACAGTGCAGTTGGTTCACAGGAGATGGGTTTCAATGGGTAAGTGTGGAGTGGAGGTGCAGAGAAAGTATGGCAACAGAGGACTATCATGACATTGAACGGTAGAGTGCAGGTAAAAGGCCAGAGGGAGGGGTCCAAGCAGAGGGAGTATGTTGGAGGTGGGTGAAGGGGTCTGTAGGACAGGGAGACTGTCGCCCAAGAAAATGGGTGCAGAAGCAAAGATAATATGTCCGAAATCCACTGAGATGGGGTGCAGAGGGATAAAACTAAGACTTACTGAGTACAGAATTTTGTTGTATCAGAACATAAGGTCAGAAGGGATAGTAAATGGCTAACCGAAGAAGGGATAGACAGAGGCATGGAGAGCAAGGTTCCATGTGGGCATGAGTACTTATGAGTTTTTGCAGCTTTGTTTTATTTATTTTATATTAAGAACAGGATTTTCCTCTAGATTTAAAAATGGACATTTTGATATAGTGAGCTAAATTTGCTCTGTTTGACTAGGATCAAAATTAATTAGATCAACTGGAGTCCATCTTCAAACTCTGATTTAAAAATGGCTATTTTGAAATCAAAGTTTGAAGATGGACTCCAGTTGATCTAATTAATTTTGATCCTAGTTAAACAGAGCAAATTCAGCAAACTATTTCAAAATGCCCAGCTTACAATAGCTCTAGATGATGATCAGCAGATGTCCTTGAACAAGCTCTTGAGAAAGTGCAGCCTTTCTGATCATTGAGATGAACTATGACACACATGGCTAATAAGTAATTATTCCACAAGCTCTTTTGATATTATGCTTGGCCGTATAAGTATTAGTCACACGGACACACAAAAAAAGCAAGAGATTGGTGTCTAAATCTGTCTGCTGGCCCAACATCAATAAGGACGTTGATCAACTGGTTCAAGTTGTGTGAAATATCAATTCTATAAACCTCAGCAACTGGGAGAACCTCTCATTCCACAATTCCTCCTAAGCTGTAGAGTAAGATAGCAGCTGAGGTTTTCCAAGTCCAAGCATCGTAGTGACAATATTGAAAAAAATTTCCTTGCATGTAACAAATCAAAATGCCACTGGTGCAGCAGCTGTTGTACAGGTACACCATTGCAAACAGACTGTCCGGGTGCATAACAGCCTGGTACGGCAACTGCTCTGCCCAGGACTGTAAGAAACTACAGAAGGTTGTGTGCACAGCGCAGAGTATCATAGAAGCCAACCTTTCGTCCATGGAGTCTATTTACATGGCTCACTGCCGTGGAAATGTGGCCAACATCAGCAAAGGCCCATTGCACCTTGGTAATGACCTGCTGCAACCTCTTCCGTCAGCCAAAAGATACAGAAGCCTGAACATATGTACTAGTAGGTTCAGGAACAGCTTCTTTCTGACCGTTATCAGACTGTTAAATTGACACTAGTCTCAAATGATGTAACCTGTATGCCTCTAAGTCTTTTGATCTGTACACATCTTTTGCTTGCTGTGATCTGCCTGTACCGCTTGTAAACAAAGTGTTTCACTGTGTTTTGGTATAAGTGACAATAAAATCTATAATCGGTCAATGTTAACTGCCAAATTCAGTTTATTTGGTGATCCTCAGCAGATTTGTTTCTGACAATGGTTTGCAGTGCACTAATATACCTTTTCAAGATGTGCAGGAAGTTGGGCATTCAACACATTGCTGCCTCGCTATCACTGTAATTGTGTCTCAGCACCAACCAGCCACATACATTTGAAGCATTGTTGAAAAGAAGGGAGAAAGTGGTACAACAGCATGATCAAGAGTGTTATCTCAACTTGAATCAGGACGAAGCATTAACTTTTGAGATTTTTGTGCAAATACATGGGTTTATGGAAGGATGAAATGACATCTTGTATAGCCAAGATCATGCAACAGTGCAACAAACAATGGTCAAATCACACATTGAAACAAGACCCATCTAGTTGTACGTGACCTGACTCCAATACTACAAGTATTACGCCTGACAACAGCCAGATATCTATAATGCATGAAACACATCCTTCTGAATTGACAGTACAGCACATTGAAGCTACATAAGCAAATTGTGATAAGTTTGAGGATTAGATCTGTTCATATTGTGCATCCACCAAAGCATTTAGAATAGCAATTTATTGTCACTTGTATTAATGAAAATACAGTGCGATGTGTATAAGTTGCCACAATTCAACACCATTTCAATTACAGAAGTTAAAACAAATAATGAAGACAGTTAGGACAAAATTCATCTTTTGTTCCTTCCACGGCAGCCTGGGATTCTAAAATAGCTCTGGGACACTACTACCGAGGCTGCCAAAGCAAGGATTTCTGGACAGGATGCACCACACTGCCACCACCAAAGCCAACACTGAAGCCACTGCATCACCACCATAGCAAGGAGGGACAGACAGGACCCAGCAAGTTGCCGTTACTGAAGTTGCCACATTGCTGCCATAGCCACGAGGAATGAACCACCATGTAGCCACCACTACAGCCATTGCTGAAACCATCACGAGAAACAGGCTAGATCTTCTGATGATGAAGCCATTGATAAAACCATGGCCATGAGAAATGAACATCCAGATCCACAATACGTAATTTTAAACATTAGGATAATGTGCCAATGTGCTTCCTTTATTTATTAGAATAGGTTTTCTACTGTTCAAAGGGGAAATGTGGGATCTATTAATGCATAGCCCTCAATGTACCTTGACGATAGCTAGATGACATCACAACATCGAATGGTGCAGCATAAGAGGTCTCCACCTTAATCTCTGTACAATCTCAACTGCTAGTTGATCTGTTTGCAAGCAACTAGCTAGCGAGAAAGTCAGCCAGCGAATTATGTGTGTAATATATTTATAATCTAAGTAAGCATATACCCAATAATGTATATACAAATCTGAGATGTTGCATTTTGTGTCCGTAGTTGGTTGTTGTTAAACCCGCGGATATCTGAATCCGTGCAAACCCAATTCTTTGTGATATGTATGTTGTGTATTTTTTATATACACACAGACACACTTTTTTTTTGCTGATTCAGCACATGTACTAGTCTGAAGTTATGATTCTAAAGAAATCAGTAACACTGGGAAGAAAACAGCCACTTCTGTGTTTCTATGGAAATGGATTAAGAGTACTTGTATGCTTTTCCTGCAAAATTGTGATTTGTTTGATAATATACCTTATCTGAAAACTCTGATAAAATATTAATTTTCCTTTCATGTCTTTTCAGCAGCAGTTGGCCCATACGTGCCACCTCTGCAGCAGGTGTTCCAAGCACCACGACGACCAGGGATAGGAACGATAGGCAAGCCAATTAAACTTCTAGCCAACTACTTTGAAGTTGATATTCCGAAAATCGATGTTTACCATTATGAGGTGGATATAAAGCCAGATAAATGTCCAAGGAGAGTAAACAGGTACCAATCAGTCAGCCTTATAATTCCGAATAATTTCACTGTGCAAAGAAATACAAAATATTAGTGCAAGTAGACTAGTCAGCTCCTCATTAACTGGCTGACACGCTAGCTCTGCTATTCAGTAAGATCATGGCTGATCTGTGTGTTTCAAATTCCACATTCTTGTCTACTCCCTTTGATTATTTTGCCTAGCAAGAATCAATCTAGAATTGAGCAGTTTTGTACTTTTGTGAATGGAGATCACAGTCAGTTGTATTAACGTCTCTCATTCCCTTTGAGAATTATATAGTGCTTTTTTCACACAATATACTACCATGATACATGCCTGAGTATATTTCATTGCAGTTGTTATAGTAATAAATAAATGCTGTCTTGTAAAATGATCTTTAGGGGTGGCCCTGCAGCACAATAGAGTTTTTTCTTTGTCTCTTGATTGTATGTTCACAATTTTCATACACGTGCATATTTAAAACTGAGTGTCATAGCTTGCTTAATAATTAAATCAAACATTTTATAGCCTGATTTTGCTGTTTTTTGCCTTTTTACCGTGTGTTTTTAGGATGATCACTGGATGAAACACAAGCCAAGTAGACTTAGGACCAAACTTGGAATTTCTCCCTCTACTGGTCATTTATGACCAACATTAATATCAAACAAAAATAAATAATCTTTTTCTTCATTGAATTCTATACATATTCAGGTTAAAACCGAATGCACTTGTACACCAGTATAATGCTGGCTTTGATATACATGTAATTTAAGGTTCCCTGTTCATCATAAAATCTATGAAAAATTTAACTGTACAAATACATTTGAAAAGTTTGTTAAAATGGGTATATTTACTGTCATTTAACTGATACCAGAATAATGTTTTGTTATCTTCATAGGATTTTTAAAAATAATAATGGTATGTGATTCAAAAAACACACTGGCTGTTCTGAAGCATGAGTTGCATTGAAAATGGAAATAAAGACTGAGTAATTACATTTAAAAATTTGGAAATGTGTTTCCATTGTAATAACAAAAATAGATAAATTCAGCAAGTAAGAGGGAAGAAAGAATAACAAATTTAAAAATATTAAAGTGCAAATCAAGAAATAGACTAGTGAAGTACAAATAGATTTCTTCAACTGCTTACTTAGTTTGGCTTACCAATTATGGAAGGAATAGAACTACAATTATTATACAAAGTCTTTTAATATTAGATCTTGTTAATGATTTATGAGAAATAAATTGGTCAGTAAGTTTGTGAATTTGACAAGTCTTTCAGCTTCATGGAGGATCAAGAATAATTGTAGATACTATAGTGGAAATAAAATCATCCTTTTTAATTATATTGAGCTTCCTATCAGTTGTGATACCAATTGTTGGCATTACTAGACAGGTCAGATCCCAGAATGTTCTGGTTTAATAAATTAGTTTCTTTTAGTTAGTTCATGTGGTGGTTATTCACTGAAACATTCATGTGAGGCTATTGATTTTCTTGGACAACAGAAGTTTATTACAGACGAATAAATTGAAAAGTCTATTTAGCTTTAGAAGATTTAAAAAGATCTAAAATCACACAGCAAAAATGTTTCAACCAGTTTCCTGATACTATCCATTATAGAGACTCAAGTCCTGAAAAACTACACTACTATTTCAATTCTTTAGCTTTCAACTGAACTGGCTCCTTCATGGTTCTTTCCTGTGGTCTGTAGTGGTAGCTCAGTGAATCATTTCCAAGTCTGCCAACACGAACCTTTCACTAACTTGAGAGCCTAAGCTTTCTCAATTCGAATAACTTGCAGATTTCAAACCAAACTTTGGAAGATTCACCAACTTAACCTTTCTGCTGAGGCGACCAATTCCCTTAACTGCCTTGTACTCTTAAGAGAGATGCTAAATTTGTTTTTGAACTCAACCCTGGTGTTTTCTGTGCTAAATTTTTAAAAAATCTTTTTCAATACTAGATTCTTAAGTGAAAACAAGGCTTATGACCTTTTGTTTACTATACCCATCATCTAAAACAATATAAATATTTTTCTGTAAACATCACAAGGTCTGCAGTCACTTGTTTAATGACAGATACTGAATTAAAGCCACCTTTCTGGAAAGACTGAGCTTTCCTTTTTTAAGAGGAAAATCCTTCACAGAAGTAACCAAAACCCAACTGCCTCTATTTTGAAATTAAAATTCCAGAAATGTTTTCAGGATAAATTAGATACGTTTCATCACAACATAAATGCATTTGTTATTTGTTGTGTTTGAAATCATGTCCTATGTTTAAACAAAAACTCCTTAATGGTAGTGCTACACTTTTTTTTGAAAGACTGGCTGATTAGAAATCAGATTTTGCAGTTTCAGAATTAGGCAAATGAGTGTCCATTTGCAGTGGCAATGCTGTATCTACAATAACAGCTTCATTTTTACTTCCCTTTTTTATATCAAACATTCAATGGTTCTGCATCAAACAAAATTTGACTCTTGCGCTCCATGAAAGGACATTATAACAGATGACCAAAACCTTTTAAGGAACATCCAGGACAGAGTGGTAGGGAGACAAAGGTTTAGTGAGAGAATCCCAGAGTTTCAGGCTCAGGCAATTGAAGGCACAGCCATCATTGGTCGAGTAATTAAAATTAATAAAGTCAAAATGTCCAGATGGTAGGAAGTAACAGAACTTCAATTAGATCAAATTTGAAAGTTTAATCTAAAAATCTCAATCTTAATTCAAAGAATTTTGCATTTTATTGTATCTGAATCTATTTATGCCTTACAAGGCTGCCATGTTTCTGATTGAGGGGATAAAACATTCAGTGATCCCACTACTATTATTCCACTTGTGTTATCTCACATTTCACACATAGGAAGACTTCATCTGGTTCCATAAGGCAGACATGTTTTGAACCCCAGAAACCTTGTGTGCAAGTCACAGGTCCACCTCTCACTCCTCAACCAGACCTAAATATAATCTCCCTGTGAATTCTTGCAGTCACTACAATAGAAATCAAATTTCTGCTTGCACTTCCAGTTACTACATTTTTAACCATTTTGTCTTTTAAATTGATATACAGTAAAAGCACATATCATTTTCATCTCTATATGATAATAAAATTGCCTTAAAACTCAAAGGCTTTTTGAATGTTTTCAACATGTCTGTTTTGCAGGGAAGTGGTGGAGTACATGGTTCAACACTTCAAACCTCAGATCTTTGGAGACAGAAAGCCAGTGTATGATGGGAAAAAGAATATTTATACAGCAACACTACTACCAATCGGCCAGGATCGGGTATGAAAAATTACTGATGATTTATCCTCTTCTGAGCAAGAGATTCTTTCTTCCCAAACCACAAATGAGAGCTCTATTTCTTTTCAGTCTGTGAAACTAAGTCCCAAAATTGCTTTGTGTAGAGTTTAGCTATAAAAATCAGAGAGGTGCATATTTGATTCCTGTTGTTTACTCAGCTGATCTAGTCATAGGTTACACTCTAAGCTGAAACTGCCAATTGTGTTATGAAAAAAATGAGCTTGAGTTCACTCTACTGCTCCAATATTCATTGAATATTCATGTGAAATATGTGGCATTATTGTTGCAGTACTTATGGTGTTGTTTCTTCAGACTTTGTGCAGTTAACAAATTTGCCTCTGCTGAGGTGGTTTAGCAGTGATACAATTTCATAAAGGTACATAGAAACAATGAGCAGGAGTGAGGTAATTCAGTCCTTTGAGCCTGCTGCAGCATTTAATAAGATCATGGCTGATCTGAATCTCAAATCCAGCTCCCGCCTACCCCGATTATCTTTCACCTTGTTACTTTACCAAGAATCTATTGAACTATCAGTATATTTTCTTTTGTAAAGATTGCTTACCTCCACTTGTTTAACATTGACTATCTCTGCTTATCTGCTAATTCTCATAATCACTGTTTTTGTCACCACTAGATTTATCTATTTTGATGCTGGCCCATTTGGTCTCCCATCTTCCAGCTTCCATGGACTTGAGGTCATCCCAAGTCTAACTTGCACTAAGTCCTGCTCGCACATCACTCCTGCCATACATTGGCTTCCTGCCCACTTAAAATTCTCATTTTTGTGTCAAGTCTTTCTATGGAATAGCCCCTAACTATCATATACCTTATGAAGAATTCTGCATTTGTTGAATGGCCACCCATGCCCTTCATCTCATCATTGCCTTCCATGTTTTAGCTACCCAAATCCTAAACTCTGTTTAGCAAGCTGTTAACTTCCCATCTGGTATTTTGTTTGGTTCTATCAATCTTAGCCTGATTTTGCTTTTTTAACATTCATTCATGAGATGAGGACGTTACTGGCTAGGCCAGCATTTATTGCCCATCCCTAAATACCCAGAAGGCAGTTAAGAGTCAACCACATTGTTATGGGTCTGGAGTCACATGTAGACCAGACCGGGTAAGGATAGCAGATTTCCTTCCCTAAAGGACATTAATGGATCAGATGGGTTTTTCTTACAATCGGTGATGGATTCATGGTTGTCATTAGACTTTTAATTCCAGATTTTTATGGAATTCAAGTTCTACAATGTTATGAGGCATTTTCTTATGTTAAAGTAATGCAAGGTGGATGTATGTGATCACTTAAACTAGCAACATTTTACGCTGAGGATTGCTGTTGATGAGTCACATATGGTGTTTCTATTGTAAATATAAATGATACAATCCCAGTATACTGGGAGTTTTCAGTAAAGTGTCCTTATTCTTCCACCCCATTAAACATGGTGTGCCAATTTTGTGTGCCTGATTATTTTAATTGTTAAGTAAGTAAGCAGTTACGCAAAGCTAGTTTTATTTCACACTTTTCAGTATTTTTGTGCATTACTTAAAATCAAATTTTGAGATTCATTTAAGGTAAAACAAAAACTGTACATCATTCTTCTCAGCAGCCTACCCCAAAGATGGAAAGTTGTACAAGGAGGTTGTTTGACAGACCAGTATTTAATGTTGATAGTTAATTATTATAATCCATGAAATTTGCTGGTCTGGATGGTCAATTATTTTTAGTTCAGCTTTTGAAATTACCCAGAGTGAATAATCTTCCCATTGAGGTCTCATTTATTTGTTTTTTAAATGTAAGGTTGACTTTGAGGTGACCATACCCGGTGAAGGAAAAGATCGCATTTTTAAAGTTTCAATTAAATGGTTAGCAGTGGTGAGTTGGAGATTGCTGCATGAAGCCCTCGTCAGTGGTCGAATTCAGGTTCCTTTAGACTCTGTTCAAGCCCTGGATGTAGCTATGAGGCACCTGGCATCAATGAGGTAATCTAACTTCCTGTTGATTTATCAGAAGGAGTATAATGTAATAGCCAAAGCTTTGAATGTTTGGTTTAATTTTTTGTTTTGATTTTACATTTGTTAAGGCAAAAAGAGAAGTTTGGGAGGGTTTTTGATTGGAATGCTCAATATTGTGTTGGCTCTAAACAGAATAAGTTGAAACTGTTCCAATTAACACTAGGGTCGAGAATTAAAGGACAGTGATTTTAAGGTGATTTTGCAAAAAGTACCAAAGGCAACATGATAATTTTAAATTAATTCAGGAGATGTTAGCATTACAGACTGGGCCAGCATTTATTGGCCACGACTAATTGCTGTGGTGAACTGCCTACCGCAGTCCTTGGAGTGTGGGGCAGCCACAGTGCTGTTGTAAAAGGAGGTCCAGGATTTCAACCCAGTGAAGGTATTGCAATTATAGTTCTAGGTCAGGGTAGTATTTAGCTTAAAGGGGATCTTGCTGCTGATATTCCCATCCATCTGCTGCCCTTGACCACCTCGGTGGTAGAAGTTGCAAATTTGGACTGTGCTGCTGAAGTATACTTCATGAGTTATTGCAGTGCATTTTATAATTGGTAGAAGTGCTGATACTGTGTGTTGCTGGTGAAGGGAGTGAATGTTGAAGGTGTTGGATTGGGTATCAATCCAGCAGACTTCTTTGTCCTGAATGGTATTGAGATGCTTGAGAATTGGAGCTGCACCCCTTCGGGCAAGTGTGGAGTAATCCATCACACTTCTGACTTTTGCCTTGTAGATGGTAGACAGGCATTGTGGAGACAGAAGCTGAGTTAACTCAGAATTTCGAACCTCTGAACTGCTTGTAGCCATGTTATTTATTTGGTTGGTCCAATTCAGTTTCTGGTCAATAGTAAGCCCCAGGGATGTTGATAGTGATTGATTCATTGGGAATAATGTCATTGAAGATCAAGGAATAATGGTTAGATTCTCTCATTAGATATGTTCGTTGCGTGGTATCTGTGCGATGCAAATGTTACTTACCAGCCCAAACCTAAGTGTTACCTGGGTCTTGCTGCATATGGACACAGACTACTTCAGTATCTGAGGACCTGTGACTAGTGCTCCAAGTTGTGCATTTCATCAGTGCATCCTTCTGATCTTATATTGGAGGTAAAGTCACTGTACAGCTGAAGATGTTTGAGCCTAAGGCACTGTCCTGCAGTGATTTCTTTGGACCTCAGAAATCACAGCCATTTTCCTTTTGTGTTAGATATGACTTCAACCAGTGAAGACCTCCCCCTGATTCCCACTACTGCAGTTCTGCTTGGGCTCCTTGATGCATGAGTCAAATGGTGCTTTGATGTCAAAGCTAGTTGCTCCCACCTCATCTCTAGAATTCAGGTCTTCTTTTTCTCTGTGTTTGTGTCATGGCTGTAGTGAGGTCAGGGGCTGAGTAGCTGGCAAAACCCAAACTGAGTGTCAGTGAGCAGGGTATTCATGTGCTATTTTATACCAGTCTTGATGACCTCTTCCGTCACTTTGGGAGGAGAATGGTGGATGATAATTGGCCAGGTGTAATTTGATCATATTTTGTGAACAGTAACAACCTGGACAATTTTCCTCATTGCCAAGCCAAGTAAATGCCTCTGTTTAATTGTATTGGAACAGTTTGTGTAAGGGCATGGCTATTTCTGGAGCATACTTCTTCAGTGCTATTTCCAGAATATTGTCAGGACTTGCAGCCTTTGCTGCATCCGGTGTCTTTAACCGTTTCTTGATATCATATGAATTGAATCAGATTGGCTGAAAACTTGTGTTTTGACACTGGAAATCTTGGGAAGAGGCAGAAATGGATCATCCACTTGGCACTTCTGCCTGAAGGTACATGCAAATTCTTCAACCACATCTTTTGCACTGATGTGTTGGGCTCTCCTATCATTAAGGGTGGAGATATTTCTCTCCTGTTAGTTCTTTAATTGTCCAGCATCATTCATGACTGGCTGAGGCAGGATCGCAGGGCTTTTAACTGATCCTTCGGTTGTGGAATCATTCAGCTCAGTTTAGTGTACCCTGCTTCTGTTGTTTGGAATGCAAGTAGTTCTGCATTGTACCATCACCAAGTTGACATTTTTTTAAGGGTAAGTCTGGATTGCATGATGCTTCTGGATTGCATGATATTCCTGGAATACCCTCCTGCACTCTTCATTGAACTAGGATTGATTTCCTGGTTTGATAGTAATGAAGTGGGGAATATGCCAGATCATAAGGTTACAGACAATGGTTAAATATAATTCTGCTGATGGTCTACAGCCCCTCATCGATGCTGGGTTATGTGTTGACCACTTCAAGATTTGTCCCACTTAGCACGGTGGTAGTGCAATACATATCTTCAAAGTGAACTTCACTTTCACAGCAACTTGTGCAGTGGTTACTCCTATCGAAGGTATTAACAGTCAGACACATCTGCAGCAGATAGATTCGTGAGGACAAGGTCAAATAAATTTCTCCTTTTGGTGAAGGTACAAGGATTTGACAATGAATTGAAAATTTGGTTTAGTGTAGGCCGACAACTTGCCATGGTTGAAGTTTAAGAGGCCAGCAAACAAAACTCAAGATTCAGGATGCACAGATCTACAGATACATGGGCAAATCGTAGTAAGGTTTAGTCGTGAAATGTCAGTAAAACGTAATATATACTGAGGAGTTCAAATAACTCATTGAAGAGAAATACATGTATTCATTTCATCATTGTCATCAGCAATCACAGCCCACCTAGGAAATTCCGTGTCACTGGTCATGAGTTCTGTGGATCCTTTCATGGCTTATAAACCTAATCCTGGAGCCACATCTCTGACCACACTATTGGCAGGTGTTTCCAGGAGGTGCAAGTGGTCCTTGGACTTGAGATCATTTGCACTTCTTGCTCTGGTTCCATTCCAGACTGCTTCTTACTGATGGATGTTCTTGAAGAATTGTCACTTCATACAGGAGTTTCCTCGAAGTCAATTTCTTTTGTACGAGGATCTCCCATACATTGACATAATATATTGCATTTTTTGAGGGAAGCCTTCAGAGAATCTTTGAAAGGCTTTCCTTGTTCTCTTGTTCAGGTGTCTTCCTTGAGCTGGATGAAGAAGGTTCACTTTGGCAGTCGGAACTCATGAATCCTAAGCACATGGCTGGCCCAGCAGAGTTGGTTTCGGGTGATTGTAATCATGATGCTGGTACTTTTAGCTGTTTCAAGGATGCTGGTGTTAGTACGCCTGCCCTCCCAGTTGATGCAAAGGATCCTTCTGAAAACAGCATTCTGAAAACTTTTCAATGGTCTTGAGGTGGTGTCTGTATGTAGTCCAAGCCTCAGAGCCATATAAAAGAATCAGAAGTGTATCTGCCTTATATACAAGGATCTTGGTGTCAGCACAGATATCATGGTTGTTGAAGACTGTCATATTTAAGTATTCGAGGGAAATGTTCCACGTTTTGGGATGATTTCTCCATTGATCTTAATAGAGGGAGGGGCCAGAACTTGTCCTGGGATGGGTTGCTAAAGGATTTGAGTCAGCTTGATGTTGAGACTGAGACCAGTTTGTCAGAATGTTTCTGTGAAGGCATTAAACGAGACTTGAAGATCCTGTTCTGAGAGAGCAGAAATGGCATTTTCATCTGCATACTAAAGTTCCACAAGTGAAATCAATGTTGTTTTCTTGAATTTCAACCGGTTGGGTTTGAAAAGATTTCCATCCTCCTGTAAATAATTTCAACACCAGTGGGAAGCTTGTTCTTGACAGATGAAGAATAGTGACGATGAAAATGCAGAAAAGAGTGGGGTGATGACATCCCTGCTTGACCCTTTCTTGACCTTAAAGGATTCTGCCACTATTACCATCAGTGAGGACTGTTGCCGTCATCTTATTTTGGAGGAGATAGAGGATGTTGATAGATTTCACTGGACAGCCAGCCTTTGACAGCATCATTCACAGCGGTTCCCGATTGACTGAATCAGACCCTTGATCAGATCCATGAAGGCTAGGTAGAGTGGCTGCTGGTGTTCCTGGCATTGCTCTTGGAGTTGCCAAGATGTGAACAATCCATGGTTTTGTCAGAAGCCATACTGGATTTCAGGAAGGATTTCCTCGGACTGGAAGAAGGTGCCTAGCAAGGTTTGGACAGAGACTATCTTAATAATGGAGAATTGAGGATTCTTTGGTAGGCTCACAGACCATTTTGTCTCCCTTCTTGAAGACAGTGGCAAAGACAGCATTCCTAGGATCAGCAGGGAATTCTTCTTTGTCCTAGATTTTCAGGAATAGTTGCTCCTGTGTTTCCATTCTTTGTGTGTCTAATGGTCGCTTCAACTTCTGCCATTGTAGATGGGAGTCCAAGATCATCATTGATTGGGAGTAGGGAGATTTCTTCAAACACGTCCTCATCAACATTTGCATTGCAGTTTAAGAGTTCTTTTGAAGTATTCCCTCCATCAGAGGCTGATGTTTTCTGTGTCTGAAAAGAGTTCCATCCTTAGTCCAAACTGGTTTGAGGCCCAGGGTGTCTGGCCCATGTATTGCCTTGGTGGTACTGAAGAAACCCCTGTCAGCAAGGAGTTACAGCTCCTTAGCTTTCTCAGTCCACCATTGGTTCTTGATTTCCCTTGTAACTCCACCTTTGATTGATGAGTTCTCTTTGACTCACTGGTAATGTCATTTTTCCAGGCATGACAGTTTCCCTCTTGTTGATGAGGTCTTGGAAGATGTGGTCATTCTTATTGAGCCAGTCTTGGTGTTTCTTGGTCCTGTAGCCAATGGTTTCTTCACAGCATGAAATGATTGCTGTCTCCCAGATTTCCTCCATTCCACTAAAATGAACTCTCCAGAGATTTTGGGAAGACATTGTTGGAAGGTCACTAGTCTGCTTGACTCTTGAAGCTACTCAACGTTGAGCTTTTTTCTGAACCATTTCGGCATCTTTGGCTTCCGGTGGCACAAGAGGAATGAAATCCTTACTTAGAGATAAGGTTCCCAAGCAGACTTGAGAACAATGTATATGCTGACAGCCCAGCCTGAGTGTAGCCCAGACACAGTGAGCAGGGAGCTGTATTGGCTGAAAACACAAAATAAAACACAGCTGACAACCTGTTGTCTCCAGAATAATGCATTGGCACATCCAGATGTCTTGTTATGAACGTGCTTGCATTGAGAATGGGTCAGTTTAAAGCAGCAGGCAGCTTGTATGACCGTTGGACTGTGTACATTTGACGAGGAGAGAGTTTTTAAAATACTGGCGGATGTGTTTAGCGTTTCCCTAGTGTCCAGGACTATTTAACACCCAGTTGAAGGCCAAGCATTAAATTGACAGGTATCAGTCCTGTGGATCAGCTACAATTGGTATGTGAAAAGATGGCATTTTCATTGCAGAGTGGGTTGCATCCTGGAGTTAGTAGTAAGAATTCCTTAGCCTGTTCTTTGCCCCTCCAGTGGCCAAGGCCAGCAAACTTTGAACTAGTGCCTCTAGGATTGTAAGTTTGTTAAAAGTGCCCTTCTGACTCCAACCTTACATGAATGTTTCTGTTACTTTTGGACGCATCTCATGTTTTCCTACAATTTATCATTTTAACAGAGTGGTTGTCAGTTTGATCTAAGTGTCCTCTAGTTCAGCTTTGAAATGTTCAATCCTACTCATTCAAAAATGAAATTCAGTGAACTTTGTTTGAAGGCCACGTGAAATTTTGCTTCAATGCCAAATAGTTTCTGTAGTTGGGAGTAGGAGTGCAAGATTGAGTGAAACGAATTGATTAACACAGCAGGGAAGCTAATCTGGCAAACAAAAAATTATATTCTAGAACAAAAATGTGGAGTTTTTTTTGTTATAATCTGCAATTTTACATGCAGTTAAATGCCAGATTACCTGCAACCATACTTGGGTTAGGTTCACTATTTTGTTTTGGCAAAGACCAAGCTAATCAGTTTCCCCTTAATTTACATTAATTGTCAATTTCTGACACTGACTACAAAGATCTCTTGATATTGAATTTCATGAGGCAGCAATGCTAAAAACAGTCATATCTACACAATTGAAACAGCATGTAGCTGTGAATAAGTATAAGGAATCAGTTGTGTGGACTTTCATGGTCAGATTGTACAGAAATGTACTAGAACCACTACCTGACCTCATTCTCTGTCCCTAATTATATGGAATGTGAGAGAGGCTACTAATCAGATCAATACCCATTTCTTAATTTCAGGTATACCCCTGTTGGTCGATCTTTCTTCTCTCCACCCGAGGGTTACTACCACCCACTGGGTGGAGGTAGAGAAGTCTGGTTTGGTTTCCATCAGTCTGTCCGACCTGCCATGTGGAAAATGATGTTGAACATTGATGGTAATGTATTTTCTGTTAAACAATTAAATTGATCAATTGTTCTTTTACCTGTTATTGAAGGTCAAGGTTGTCTATTTTTAAAACAAAACTATGATGTACATTCTAAGGAATGAATAAATTACGCAGGCTCGGGAGTAATTAAAGAAAGAATGGCCATGTTAGACAATGAACCTTATAGCATCTGTGCAAATATACCCTGGCAAAAAATTTTTTGTGAAAGGAAGGCTGCTTTGCAATCAATTACATTATAGAAAGCAACTGGTGAGATTCGTTTTGTTTAATGATACTTTTAGTTTTATGTTAATTTTTGCCTGCAGAGCATCCGTTTATTATGATAGTTGCATCAACATAAATTGCTTTCGTATTTAGAACAGCTGTGAAGAAGACTGCCTTGCGTTGTGAGTTTTACTGTTCCTTTCGTAGGTGTCACTATAAACTTTATGGTTCAATAGACACTTGATCTACTTGGCCCACCTCATTCCCAAGAACCTGGTCTAACAGTGCTTCCTTTCTCTTTGGACTGCAAATATTGCTGCAGCAAATTCTCCTGAATGCATCCTAAGAAATCTTGCTTCTCTGTCCCCTTTACCCTACTACTGTTCCAGTCTATATTCAGATAATTAAAGTTCCCTATAATAGCTACTGTATAATTTTTGAACATCTCAAATTTTTCTACATCCTTCCCACTATTTGGTAGCCAGTGGACTACATTGAGAGTTTTTTTTTGTCCCTTGGCTTTAGCTAAATCACTTCGATCGTTGATCCCTTTGGACATCCTCTTCCTCCAGCATTGTAATGCTGTCCTTAATCAATACTACAACCCAACCCCATTTTAGTTCTTACCTGTCTTCCTTGTATACGTGTCTGCAGAAATATTTAACACCCAATTCTGCTCTTCTTCGAGTCAGATCTCTATTTTAGCCACACCATCATATTTTCATATGGCAGTCTCTGCCTGAAATTTGTCCATCTAGTTGAGTGTATTTGTGCATTCTCATGCATTATTCCAAATGCTACATTGACTGCTGGTGACATTAGGCCATGACAGATGTCAGGATGTGGCTGTACATGTGCAATTCACATTTCCACGCCATGATTTGTCAACATTAGTGCATGAACAGATTTCCGCACCTTTTATTTCATGTTACTTAGCTTTTAGAAGTGAGACCCAATACCCCATGCTCCTCGGCCATTTCCCATAGCTCCTTATGTTGATTTCACTCCAGGATGGGGTGCTGAATGCTCCTTCGTTCCATCTATTTTGTCCCCATGTGGGAGAAAGTGACTGTTCAGAAGTAAAGGAAGTTTTGATTAGCCAATATCCCTCCGAAGCGTGTGATGCTTTGTTCAGCTGATTGAGTGTGATCACAGTGATTATATTGGCAGCAGCATCTTTGTGACAGTCAGCTGTTGCTGCTGTGTAATTGGGCAGTGATGTCTCACTGCTGCATTGTCTTCCTGTGCTTGTACGCTCATTTGCTCCATCTAGTGATGGCTTTCACAATAAACGTGTCCTTCATACATATGTGCAGGAACCCTGATTTAGACTTTATTATTTTTTCCCTTATTCTGACCCCACCTATTAACTTCTTATTTGCTGTCTTAGTGCTGTCTCTCTCCTGGTTCTGTCTCTCTCCTGGTTCTGACACTCTTACCAAGACCTTTTTTAAACCCTCCCAAAGCACTGGCAATACATCCTGCAAACAACTCAGCCACAGTTCTGTTTGATTGCAAACCATCCTCTCGCTGTCTCGTCAGGTCTCTTTAGACTTGCATACTTCTAGTTTCCTCTTCCTAATGGGTCCTTTCGAGACTGAGGACACATGACTGCCCGTTAGTCTTTTTGTTGCCAAAATTTTTTGAAATGACGCAAATGGTTAGTTATTGTTTCGTGTTTGAGTCATGATGTGGTTTTATATCCTTATGCGCACATATAGTTGAAAGTTGGTTGTAAGAGTTGCAAGTACAAGCACTGAAGTGAAACTGGGTCCCTGTTGTTATCAGATGTATAGCACCTTTTAGGTGTCTTTAACTGCATGGAACATCTCATGGCTTAACAAGGACAGCTTTATGTAGCACCTTTTATGAAGTTTCCCTGTGCTAAAGATGCTGTCTCATTGCAAGTTGGTAAAAGTGCTTAGGATATTTGTAGTGTTTCTTCTAAAGTAACTTTTCATCTTTTAACATTTCTTTTAATAGTTTTTGGCCAGTCACTTTTGAACAGCGATTTTAATCTTACATGTTGTACTTGTCAGTTATATGGACAGTGAGTAATAGTCACTGACCACAGTCCCCTTTTACCCTATTTTAGTATCAGCAACAGCTTTCTACAAAGCTCAGCCTGTAATTGAATTTATGTGTGAAGTCCTTGACATACGGAACATCGATGAGCAGCCAAAGCCACTTACTGACTCTCAAAGAGTGCGTTTTACTAAAGAAATTAAAGGTAGGTTTGATCATTTACTTTTTTGTTTTGATGGTTTTGGAATTTAGTCAGTATTTTCTAAGTGAACACAGTAGCTATCTGCATGCAGCAAGGCACACAAACAGTGATAAATGACCAGATACTCTGTAATAGAATCCCTACAATGTGGAAACAGGCCCTTTGGCCCAACAAGTCCACACCAAACCTCGGAGCATCCACGCAGACCTGTCCCCCTGTAACCCACTTAATCCTGAGCGCTATTGGCAATTTAGCATGCCCAATCCACCTCGCCTGCACATTTTTGGAATGTGGGAGGAAACCCACGCAAACACAGAGAGAATGTGCAAACTCCACACAGACAATTGCCCGAGGGTGGAATCGAACCCGGGTCCCTGACACTGTGAGGCAGCAATGCTAACCAGTGAGCCACTGTGCTGCCCCATATTTGCTGGGGGGGAGAATGCTTGTCAAGACACCTGAAGAAGTGCCTTTTTCCATGTAGATGCTTTCACAGTAATCTTGCATTCATTCATTCAACGTCAATATTTTTCATGCTGTCACTCTTGTAATGCATATTGTGAAAGCCAGTGCATACTGCAAAAGATCCTATAAGCAGCAAATTAAAGGACTACCAGATCATTTATTTAATTGACTAAAGTTAAAGAACTGTGGATGCTGAAGATTTAGGAAAGAAACAGAAATTGCTGGAGACACTAGTCGTTCGGCAAGGTCCTGCATGGCAGATTGGTTAATGAGATTAGAATTTTGTGGAAAGCCAGGGAAGAGATTGCTGGGTCCCATGCTGAGATATCTATCATTGTCAGCCACAGGTGAGGTGCCGGAAGCCTGAAGGTTGGCTAATGTGGTGCCATTATTTAAGAAAAGCTGTAAGGAAAAGCTGGGGAACTAATAGACTGGTGAACCTTGTGTCAGTGGTGGGTAAGTTGGTGGAGGGCATTCTGAGGGACAGGATTTACATGCATTTGGAAAGGTAAGTGCTGATTAGGGATAGTCAACATGGCTTTGTGTGTGGGAAATCGTGTCTCATTGACTGGATTGAGTTTTTTTTTGAAGAGGTGACAAAGAAGGTTGATGAAGACAGCACGGTATTGTCTATATGTACTTCAACAAGATGTTCGACAAGGTTCCGCATGGTAGACTGGTTAGTAAGGTTAGATCACTTGGGATCCAGGGGAGCTAGCCAATTAGATACAAATTGGCTTGAAGGTAGGAGACAGAGAGTGGAGGTAGAGGATTGCTTTTCTGACTGGAAGCCTGTGACCAGTGGTGTGCCACAAGGATCAGTGCTGGGTCCACCGCTTTTTGTCATTTATATACCGTCGGTTCTGATATAATGGGATAGTTCCGTTCTCATGCGATCTTGCGTTATAAGAAAATCACACAATAACCGCAACATTTAAAGTGATGGGGACAGAATCGAGTTATTGCCAATACAGGTAGGAAAAGTTTGCATTTTACAAATAGCATTGTATAATCTTCAATCGCATCAAAACCAATTCTGGTTGAAGAAACACACATTATATCAGAACCAACTGTAAATGATTTGGATGTGAATATAGGAGGTGTGGTTTGTACGTTTGCAGATGATGCCAGAATTGGTGGTGCGAAGGGCAGTGAAGAAGATTATCTCAGAGTACAATGGGACCTTGATCAGATGGGCCAAGAAGTGGCAGGTAGAGTTCAATTCAGATACATGTGAGGTGTTGCACTTTGGTAACGCAAACCAGGGCAGGACTTATATAGTTAATGTTAGGGCCAAGAAAGTGTTGCCAAACAGAGACCAAGGGGTACAGGTGCATAGTTCCATGAAAGTGGAGTCGCAGGTAGAGAGGGTGGTGAAGAAGGTGTTTGGCATGCTTGCCTTCATTGGTCAGTGCATTGAGTGTAGAAGTTTGGAAGTCATGTTGCGACTGTACGGGACATTGGTGAGGCTATTTTTAGAGTACTGCATACAATTCTGGTTGCCCTTCTATTGGAAGAATGTCTTTAAACTTGGAAGGGTGCCGTAAAAATTTCAAAGATGTTGCTGGGATTGGAGGGCTTGAGTTGTAGGGAAAGGCCGAATAGGCTGGTGCTTTTTTGCCTGGAGCAACAGAAGCTGAGGGGTGACGTTATAGAGGTTTATAAGATCATGAGGGGCATGAATATCGTGAACAGCCGATGTTGTTTTTCCTCGGGTGGAGGAGTCCAAAACTAAAAGGCATTGGTTTAGAGTGAGAGGGGGAAGATTTAAAAAGGACCTAAGGAGTAACTTGTTCACACAGAGAGTGGTGCATGAATGCAATGAGCTGCCAGAGAAAGTGGTGGAAGCGGGTGCAATGACAACATTTAAAAGGTATCTGGATGAGTATATCAATAGGAAGGGTTTAGAGGGATATAGGCTAAACGCAGGCAAATGGGACTAGTTCAGTTTGGGATACCTGGACAGCATAGATGTGTTGGGCCAAAGGGTCTGTTTCTGTGCTGAATGATAGTATGACTCCAGCTCTGGCAGCATCTGTGGAGAGAAAACAGAGTTAATGTTTCGAGTCCAGTGACCCTCCTTTAACTGTGCGTTCTCTGCACAGAAACTGCCAGACCTGCTGAGTTTCTCCAGCAATTTACGTTTTTTTTTCATCTACTTAATTGATGTAGTTTGAGAGATATATGTTGGCCAGGATACTGGAGAACTCTCCTCTTTGAACTGGCACATAGGGTCTTCTGCATTCACTTGAGCCATTAGATAGAACTTTGGATGAATGTCTCATCTGAAAGATGGCAGTGCAGCATACCCTCCAGTATCGGACTAGAATATTGAGTTAGAACATGGGTGTAGAACTTCAGCTGCCAGCTCTTACAGCTTTGTCTCCCATTCACCCAGTAGGCTGCAGCTGATGAACAGACAAACCCAAGACTGCTGGTTTTATTAAATCAGCAGTTAGAAGACCCATTTTTCACTTTCTTTATGCATTTAGTGACTTAACTCTGGCTGATTAAAGATTTGTGAAGTTGTTCCAAATTATTCACAGATTTTCAGATCAGCCTAGCTGCTGTCACATCATTGGGGCATTGTGGTGTTGCACAGTCTTGGCAAATGTATATCTGCAGTGGCCAGTTCATCGTGGCTCCTCCGTATGTAAGTAACCCTGGAATGTACCTTGCTCCATCCCAAAGGAACATACCTACAACTTCAACTACAATACACATTGTCAATTCTATAGCACTCTGTTAGTACTTCACGGAAACATCTATCTAGATTATACACTTGAGTCAGATGGGGTTTGAACCTGGAGCATTTTAACTTGCTGTGAGTACTATCTTGTGACCACCTGTAAATTTCTAAAATTGTTGTTTGAAATGGGCTAAATTCTACTATGCCCTGTACAAAAAAAAGTGGTGCTTGGTAGTAGACTTATTTTGGTGTTCCTGTGTTAAAAGCTGCTATGGACTAATATACATAAGTGGTAATGAAAGTCCTGTTGAAAAGTAACACTTTACATAACACGCACAAATTAGGAATTTAGAGGTCGAGCAAGTTTAAAGGTTATGCTGCAGCATGAAACTTCGCCTTTTATTAAAAAAATGTTGGCACATTTAATGAATAGTTTTGCACCTCTATAATGCTGCTTCTGCTTGGACTTCAGATTCTTTTGTTCAGTGTATTGTAAGGAATCTAGGAGGAAAGAGGAAATAATCAATTGTGAAGCTACCATTAAGCATGTTTTATGGGAGAACAATATCTGAAATTGAAGTTGCCTTCCAACGCCTGTCTTTATTCAATGGACAAAGCACAACAGATCTGCAGCTTCTGTTCAACAGCATTCCTTTCATTCCACAAAACTATTCATATGCTGTACAAACAGAATTGTCAGACTTTTTCTCTAAAAAGCACAAACACTAATATAAATATTCAAACTGGAAAGGAGATTTCTTTTGTGTTAATGGTTTTCCTGTTAGTAGGTAGACTTGCATTATCATTACCGAATAACAAAAGGCTGTGAATATTGTTTGAAACACTGTTGAGTAGTTTATCAGTTTAAGTGGAATATTTTCCCATACCACTCCCTCCTTTGGTGCAAGCAAACACACTCTGTGTTCCCCCTTTTATATTAAGAACCGTTTAGAGTGGTATTGTTATTGACCTTGCCCATTTATACTGTGGGTATGTTTGACAACAATGGGAAGACTGTGCGATTAGTTGAAAATTGAGTTTACTAATTGAACCTGCTGTTCAGAGCATTGCCTGATATTACCAGAAGGTACAGTATAAAATACAGCAAGTTTGAAATGCAGTGTTGTCTAAGCTCAAGGTTATTGTTCTGAACTGTGTCATTCACAGGACCTGTGCAGCTTCCTTGCGACATGGTACTCATGCTCAGAAGCACCAAGGGAAAATCAGGGTTTTTGGGGTTTCAGAAGCAAAAGATCATTTACACTGCATAGTTGTCTTCTGACATCTAATTCAAATGCTCAAAGTGTGAGGATAGAGGATTAGTATCATTGACTGGCAATTTACTGCCATGTTACGTCATATCCTCAGTGCAGAATCACACATGCACTTCTGATGGAGGTTACTGGATGACATTCAGAAAATATTCCTTGTTTCCTGCACCCAAAGCCATTCAACTAATTTGTCTCCAAACAGGGAATGCAATCTTAGATCTTAATTGTCAGCTTCTTCATTCTCTAACCAGCTGAACCATCAAGGAGTCTGCAGTATTCCTGGCCTTGATTTTTTTTTTGTTCTGATTTGTACAGGTTTAAAAGTAGAGGTGACTCACTGCGGACAAATGAAGAGGAAATATCGAGTATGCAATGTCACCCGACGGCCAGCCAGTCACCAGACGTTAGTATATACTTACTGTGATGCAATGAAATTAGTGTTTCATTCTGTGCTTATCTATGAAAAGCGGTCAGGCTAGTTGAGCTTTGAAACAGACTTTAGTGGCGCACATATTTATTTCTGGCCTCTAGTCTAGTGGTGCTCATTGTTCTGAAGTGTAATGTACTCATTGATGGAAAGTAGATCTTCCTTTGTTTTCATACAGCATAAATGAAAATCTATAAAGATCCAAAGAACAATCTAAAATCTCACAACAAGTGAGTACAGCTATACTCAGTATATCCCATTTCTGTTTTTTGAACAATCTAAGGCCTACTAAAATTTGTATTAAAATTTTGGAATTATAATTGTAACAACAGCACCTTGTATTTATGTAACGCATATACCTTGGACATGGTTTTGAGACACTTCATATACTGGATACTGAGCAATACTTCAGTAAGAGGTGACTGAGACCTTGTCAAAGTGGTAAGTAGAGAAATTGAGAAGTTTGTAGAGTTCATGGCTCCAGCGTACGGAAGGTGGGATACAAAAAAAAGTAATAACAGGAGATTTAAATTGGGATGTAGGAATCGGACTTTGTGGAGTAGGGTGAGGTCGTTGAGGTAATTGTAAATGAAAATGTTGAAACCATTAGCAGAACTTGGACTGCACAGAAGCAGCTGTTCAGCCAGTGTTTCTGCTACAAATGAACCTCCTCTCGCTATACTTCTAACCCTGTCAGCTTGTCCTTCTACTCAATCCCTCATTTGCTTAACTAGCTTTATTTAAATGCATCTACTCCATTCAGAATTTTGCATTTTTATCAATCACTGAGCAAAGGTATTTCTCTGAATTTGCTTTTGGATTTTTAGTGATTTCTCTTGTAAAAAAGATGTATTGACAAGACTGAGACACCTAGTTCATTTTCAAGGAGTGTAACATAATATCTTTAAATTAGGGAATTAGGAGCCAGTAGAGGTTGCCAAGGCCAGCAACAATGGAGAGCACAACCTAGCACAGGATAAGATGGCAGCAGGCTGCTGGGAGATAATGTAGTTTGGAACATTATAGACCAGCAAGGAGAGTACTAGAGAAGATAAGCCTGGAGAAATTGATGGGAGACTTCAGTGCATTGGGGATTTTATGGGAGCAGAGCAGAAGCAAGCATTGTTATAGAGATTAAAGTAAATAGGTCTTGGGTTATGAATAGGGCATGATATATTAAATTCATTTCAGGATCCAGCAGGGTCCTCATTGAATGCTGTCAAGGTGTGCCTGATGGAGAAGAAAACTGTGAGCTAAGGTGTAAAGTTTTTGGTGGGATCGAAACACATTGGCCCTCAGCCTTGCTGATACATGAGAAGAAGCAGAGGGCAGGGGGTTCAGTGTTTGTGAACGTCTGGTAATCAAAACATGGTTATTTTTCTCCTAGATTTCCCTTGCAACTGGAAAGTGGACAGACTGTGGAGTGCACAGTAGCGCAATATTTCAAACAGAAATACAACCTTCAGCTAAAGTACCCACACTTACCCTGTTTACAAGTGGGACAGGAACAGAAGCACACCTATCTACCACTTGAGGTGAGATGTAACTGCAGTGTAGCTGAAGAGAGAGCCTCTCCTATAGGAATGAGCAACAAGAGGTTAAGAAATTTTTGATAAGGCCGAAGACAGGAGCCTCCAAAGCAGGAGAGAGATTTTTTTTAAATGGCAGCAACTGGTTGAAACTTACAAAGAGCAGTACTGGGAATGGGGTTGGAGAGTGAACTGGGGGAGATGAATAGGCACTGTTGTAGACCAGGTCAGGTTTGGCAGCAAAACCTCACATTTATAATATAAAATATTTAATGGCAGTGTATATTTTCATATCTGAAGTGTTTTGCCTAAAATGAGAGTGGCTGTTGATGCAGCACAGAGCACACTTCAGTTGTGTAGAGAGTAGAGGCTATGATGCTGAAGGATAATGGAAAGTGCAGTAGCATCATCTAGTGGCAGGCAGCTTGCACTTACCATATGATGAGCAAAAGTTAATATTTCTGCTAAAATGTTTATTCCTTAATAAAAACTGCCAGAAAGATTGTGGCTGTTAGTTTATTGTCACGTTGCTGAAGCCTGTGGAAGACCTGTGTGTATGACATAGCTGATTTTAAAAATACAAAAAAAGCTTCTCCCTAACAATAAAATTCCTTGCTCTGCTTTACTATTTTGCAGTGTTACACCCTCGTTTTTTGTCAATTGTCAAAATACATGTTTCATTAGTTTCATTCTAGTGGAACATGAGAATCACAAAAAATAGCCAATTTTATTTACAAATATGACTTGCCTCGGACTGAGATGCCTTCGTCATTTTCATAGGTATGTAACATTGTACCTGGGCAACGATGCATCAAGAAACTTACGGACAATCAAACGTCAACAATGATTAAAGCAACAGCACGATCAGCACCAGACAGGCAGGAAGAGATCAGTCGACTGGTGAGCAGTGGAAAGCCATATACACAATTAATTTCTGATGCAAGTTCAGATGGGTCTTGTGTTTAATTCATATTTCAGTGTCACTCGTGTGGCCACTTTGTTTGTTTCACAGGAAAATAGTCTATAGTTTTCATTATCCATTTTGCAGTTTAGTTGTTGACAGTGAGAAGTTATTTGACTTCATATAATCAGAATTTACAATAAGGCCCACCTGCTGCAGAGGTGTGTAATAACATATCTGAAAAGGTTGATTAGAAAAATTTAGAATTTATGACATAGTAGGAGACCATTCAACCCATCGTACTGCTCCTGCTGTTAAACCGAAGCTAATTGTTCTGTTCTCATTTCTCTGTTTCCTTTATTCTTTGATCGAACAAAAGTTTTCATTTGAAATATGTTGTATTCTCACCTCTTTTATCATTTGTGGTTACGTATTCCACATTCCACTAATTGTCTCCATGAATATATTTCTTACTATTCAAATCTCCTCCTAACAACAATTTTGAATCTATTACCTTTGTTCCATTGGATACAGCTTCTCATTGTTTACCTTTATAAGCATAGTTTTGAAAATCTATTCAATCTCATTAACCTTCTGCACGTCAGTGAAGAATTGAATTCCTTTTGAAAAGCTGTGACCTAATATCGTATGTATACACCGCCTTGACTCATCTGCTGGTGCTTTGTCCCGAGCCATTTTCTTGGCAGTTTTTCAGTGGTGGAGCTATAACCTATGATAGGATAATTTAAAACAGTCATCTTCATCCCCCTTCCATGGTTATAATTGTGCATACAAATATTTCATGAGCAAATATTTCATGGATAGTGCAGAAGGATGTTGTAGGTTACAGAGGGACATAGATAAGCTGCAGAGCTGGGCTGAGAGGTGGCAAATGGAGTTTAATGTGGAAAAGTGTGAGGTGATTCACTTTGGAAGGAGTAACAGGAATACAGAGTACTGGGCTAATGGTAAGATTCTTGGTAGTGTGGATGAGCAGAAAGATCTCGGTGTCCATGTGCATAGATCACTGAAAGTTGCCACCCAGGTTGATAGCGTTGTTAAGAAGGCGTACAGTATGTTAGGTTTTATTGGTAGAGGGATTGAGTTTCGGAGCCATGAGGTCATGTTGCAGCTGTACAAAACTCTGGTGCGTCCGCACTTGGAGTATTGCGTACAGTTCTGGTCACCGCATTATAAAAAGGATGTGGAAGCATTGGAAAGGGTGCAGAGGAGATTTACCAGGATGTTGCCTGGTATGGAGGGAAGGTCTTATGAGGAAAGGCTGAGGGTTTTGAGGCTGTTTTCGTTAGAGAGAAGAAGGTTAAGAGGTGACTTGATAGAGACATACAAGATGATCAGAAGATTAGATAGGGTGGACAGTGGGAGCCTTTTTCCTTGGATGGTGATGGCTAGCACGAGGGGACATAGCTTTAAATTGAGGGGTGATAGATATAGGACAGATGTCAGAGGTAGGTTCTTTACTCAGAGAGTAGTAAGGGCGTGGAATGCCCTGCCTGCAAAAATAGTAGACTCGCCCACTTTAAGGGCATTTAAATGGTCATTGGATAAACATATGGATGATAATGGAATAGTTTAGGTTAGATGGGCTTCAGATAGGTTTCACAGGTCGGCGCAACATCGAGGGCCGAAGGGCCTGTACTGCGCTGTAATGTTCTATGTTCTATGTTCTATGTTATGACTGTAGAAAATGTCCAGCACAAACAGTTACATTTCTTTCACCTCATCATTGCCAAGTGCTCAGGCTCCCTGTACCTAGCACATTGATCTAAAGATCTTTCTCTTCACTTTCAAATCCTTGCAGACCACATTGTACCTAAAAATAACCTTCACGTGTTCATCATCATGTAAACCTTTGTTACCCCTGCACCAAACCATTTCTGAACACTGATGGTCTCTGCCTTACAATAGATACCTGCTCTTTATTGGCATCTGCTCTTTTAACCATTACACCCCTGTTTCTGAAACTCTTTTATTCTCTGTTTCCTTGTTCTGTATCATGATACTTTTCCTAGTTTTCAAACCTTGCTTTTTGGCTTGGAATATGCATGCTGCTGAGCAACATTGTCTGAAAATATGTTAACAATTTCCATACTCCCAACAATGATGCCAAGCATTTCCGATATTCATCATGCTTTTCATTACACAAAGTGACTGTCTGTTTGACACCAAGTTATGGGTGAGTTGTAATCATCTCCAGCTCAACATTAACATGGCCAAAATGAAAACAGAAGTTGCCGGAAAAGCTCAGCGGGTCTGGCAGCATCTCTGAAGAGAAATCAGAGTTAACATTTCAGGCCTGCAAAGAACAAAATCTCATTTTCCGTTTCGGGACCCAACAGCCCTCCGGGCTCAATATTGAGTTCAATCATTTTAGGGCCTAATCTCTCGCATGTCCTAGCTCCCGACCCCACACACCAGGCCTTGTTATCACAGTCTACCATTACACACCACCTATTGCTAGCCGCTAACTTTCTCCATTAACAGCTGTTCACTCTCTCAGCCAGATTGTTATTCACTCGTTTCCGTCCAACTGTTCTCTTTGGACTCTATCCCCACCAATTGTTTACTCCTTACCCCATCCCACCACCCCGTCTTCTGCAAATAAACTGACATGTTCCTAGCTACCATCAGTTCTGAGGAAGATTCATCTGACCCGAAACGTTGACTCTGATTTCTCTTTGCAGATGCTACCAGACCTGCTGAGCTTCTCCAGCAACTTCTGTTTTTATTTCTGATTTACAGCGTCTGCAGTTCTTTCAGTTTTTAGTTAGTATGGCCAAAACTGTTCTTTTCAGTTTTCATCACAACCATAGCCCCAGGCCCGTCTCCCTAGCAGACTGCTTGCACATTTAAAATTGAACTCACTGGTGCTCAGTTTCTGTCCTGCTTGATCCAATAATAAACATCCACCTTATATCTGGTCTATCACTGAGACTGCTTTCATTTCTCAATATTGCCCATCTTTATTCCTGCCTCATTTGTGTCACTGTTGAAACTTGTATCTGCTCTCTTGTGACTTCTGGGCTGCATTAATTTTATTGATTGTTTTCCTGGCTTCCCAAAGTACCAATCAACAGATTATCTGCAGCTTTGCACACTGCACCCAGTTGGCTCACTCTTCACTCTTGCCTTTGCCATTCTCACTGGATCTGCAGTTCCCACTGTGTTAATATCTCCTAACCTATCTCTACTAGCCCAAATTAACACACTGTACACTGATACACTGTTTTCTTTCACTTCTTCATTGGTGAAAGAACCTTTAGTTGTCATGCCTTAGCATTCTGAAACTCCCTTGCCACAATTCTTTCCATTTTAAAAAGTGTCTGTATAAATCCAATGATGCATTTAGTCAATTTCATTAATCCAGCTTCAAAGTCTTGCTGTGTCCAGTTTGTTTTTCATACAGCAACTTTCGGTGGAGAAAATAAGAAAAAATATGTATGTCAAACTTAAAAATCTCTAATTTCTGCAAGAGTTGTAGCCATGGGATTCTATGATAATTGACATTTTATGTGCAGATGAAGAATGCCAGCTACAACCTTGATCCCTACATTCAGGAATTTGGGATAAAGGTGAAAGATGACATGACTGAGGTCACAGGCCGGGTTTTGCCAGCTCCGATTTTACAGTACGGTGGCCGGGTAAGTAACAACTGTTCCAAGATATTCACATAAAAGAAGACATCATGCATAATTTGGGAAGCAGCGCAATAAAATAGTGTGACTAAGTTCTAGCATGATAAAGGTTGATTGTGATAACTGTCAGAAAAGCATAGAGGATTTGGTAGACTTTATATCCGTGAATGCGCTCTATGTCTGATCCTACTGAAAAGTATTTTCTGTCCAAGTTCAAGCCTCACCTTACTTAAAACATGTATCAAAAATAAATGGGCTTGTTCTTTCTACCTGCATGGAAATCTTAAAAACTATGCAAGAGATTAGTGGAGAGATGGCACATGCCTTGACTTTGCCTAAAATGGAACTGAGAGATGCAGAACGAAAAGGTATTTGAAAGCTGATTTTAGTTTGCGCTAAATATTACAGGTACTGACAATCTTGGAAAAAAAAACTCAAATCTTCGGAAGCTTTCAGGCAGTGAAGGGAGCATAGGTATAGTAATCCTGAGAATGATCCTTGTCCAAAATACCTCCTCTGTTTGCTTTCGGGCTAGAAGAAAGAAGTCAACTAATGTTCTTCGCCTTGATAATATCCAGTGACCCACTGCAAAAAAGAAAATGTGTCTGTGGGTATTATTGAGGGTAGGGTTAGGATCATGTTCCAGATGCTGTATAAACCTCTAAGCACAGAGTGAGCTGAAAACACTTCTCAGACCAGACATAATCTGTAAAGGTAATGTGTTCATAGTCCCAGAGGACCATTGGACTGCTCTCTCATTAGACAGGGACACTGGTGCGAATTTAATCTGAGAGTCATCATGCTACAGGCAAGGTTGTGAAAGCAGGATTGATCTTCATGGCAACCTCAGCCAGTACAGGAATTGAACCTGCACTGTTGGCATCAGTGCGCATTGCAAACCAGCCAACTGAGCATAGAAAGAGGCCATTCAAGCCCATCATGTCTGTATATCTAATCTTAATGTTTAAACTAAGACCATCAACCTGAAACATTGACTGTTTCTCTTTCTATTGATATGTTACATTACTTGCTGATTGATTCCAATAGTTTCCATGGCTTTTTTCAAATTTTCATAATTTACCATGTTTTATTATAATGAAAAATAACCACCTGATTAAGAGATAGTAAGAACTGCCGATGCTGGAGTCCGAGATAACACAGTGTGGAGCTGGAGGAACACAGCAGGCCAGGCAGCATCAGAGGAGCAGGAAAACTGACATTTCAGGTCGGGACCTTCCTTAGGAATAGGGGGGAGGGTGGGGGTAGAAGGGAGCTCTGAAATAAATAGAGAGAGGAGGGGTGGGGCTGGGGAATGCAGGTGGGATCGTGATAGGTGAGCGCAGGTAGGCAGTGGTGGGGATTGGTCAGTGAGGTGGGAGGAGCGTTTGAGTGGGAGAGAAGACGGACAGGTAAAGGAGGCACGGTGAGAGGGAGGGTTGGTCTTGGAATGAGGCCAGTTTTGAAACTAGTAAAGTCCACATTGAGACCATTGGGTTGTAGGCTCCCAAGGCGGAATATGAGGTGCTGCTCCTCCAGTTTCCAGGTCGCGTCGTTGTGACACTGGAGGAGACCCAGGATGGACATGTCGTCCAGGGAGTGGGAGGGGGAGTTGAAGTGGTTCACGACTGGAAGATGTTGTTGTTTGTTGTGAACAGAGCACAGGTGCTCTACAAAGCGGTCTCCGAGCCTCCACTTGGTCGGACCGATGTAGAGGAGGCCACATCGGAAACAGCGGATGCAGTAGGTCACATTAGCAGATGTGCAGGTGAACATCTGTCTGATGTGGAAGCCTTTTTTGGGTCCTTGGATGAAGGTGAGGGGGGCGGTGTAGGGGCAGGTGTAGCACTTCCTGCAGTTGGATTAAGATAGCAATCACAAGTTTTATTCCCATAAATGGACAGGAGAGATAAAATTAAGTGTTTGTTCAGAGATGTCCTTGGTGTTCCCAATATCACTTACATTTAAGAGAATTCATTGATTATTTTCCTGATTTATCTTAAGACAGTATATTTCAGTACTCAACTCTAGATAGGTGAGAGTTATCTTAATAATCCCATCCATCATTCTGTGTCCCAAATTATGAAAATTAAAATTTAAATTGGTTTTAGAAAGGCGTTCTGGAGAATGCAACTCTTTTCTTTAAATATATTTGGGTTAAACTGGCCCTTCATTAGCTAAAAAGTGAATTTGAACATTTTGATTTTGTTTTTGCATCTTACTGTAGCCTGTGTTCCGCATTAATTCAAATCGTTTTCTTTCTTTGATCCTTGGTGCAATTATGCTACTCCATCTTCTTGCACCCTGTGCCCTAACCATGTATTCCTTCACTTGTGGCAGTCTGGAGTTTTTTATCACCCCATCTTGGCCCATGCCTTCCTCCTTTTAGAAACAATCAGTTATTGGTTTTCTCCATCCTGGCATCTCTTTTCTTTCTTCCTTTTACCTTTCCCCAACTTGGTGACCATTGTGTTCAATCCATCCTTACTGAGACTTTTTTTCCTGCATGTGAAGTGTGTTGTATAAACACATATTGTTAATGAGACTATTGCTGCACATGGACAGGAATTGCTTTCAAAAGACTTTTTTAAACATTCTTTGTTTCTATATGGATCTTGTCACCCTCAGTATGTCAATAAGAATGACATTTGCCAACCTTCGTGATTTGTCTTTCGTCAGGTGATTCATTTAGCCAATTCTAAAGCCAAAGGTCTTTGGACAGAGAGAAGAGTTGCTGTGAGAAAAGAGGGTTCTCAAACCAGGGTTCTGTTCTGTCTAAGATAACAAGGTGTAGAGCTGGATGAACACAGCAGGCCAAGCAGCATCAGAGGAGCAGGAAGGCTGACGTTTCGGGCCTAGACCTTTCTTCAGAAATGGGGGAGGGGTATAGGGGGTTCTGAAATAAATAGGGAGAGAGGGGGAGGTGGATAGAAGATGGATAGAGGAGAAGATAGGTGGAGAGGAGACAGACAGGTCAAGGAGGCGGGGTTGGAGCCAGTAAAGGTGAGTGTAGGTGGGGAGGTAGGGAGGAGATAGGTCAGTCTAGGGAGGACGGACAGGTCAAGGGGGCGGCATGAGGTTAGTAGGTAGGAGATGGGGGTGGGGCTTGAGGTAGGAGAAGGGGATAGGTGGGAGGAAGGACAGGTTAGGGAGGCGGGGACGAGCTGGGCTGGTTTTGGGATACGGTAGGGGGAGGGGAGATTTTGAAGTTTGTGAAGTCCACTTGGATACCTTTGGGCTGCAGGGTTCCCAAGCGGAATATGAGTTGCTGTTCCTGCAACCTTTGGGTAGCATCGTTGTGGCACTGCAGGAGGCCCAGGATGGACATGTCGTCTGCGGAATGAGAGGGGGAGTTGAAATGGTTCGCGACTGGGAGGTGCAGTTGTTCAGTGCGAATCGAGCGTAGGTGTTCTGCAAAGCGGTCCCCAAGCCTCCGCTTGGTTTCCCTGATGTAGAGGAGGCCACAACGGGAACAGCGGATGCAGTATACCACATTAGCAGATGTGCAGGTGAACATCTGCTTGGTGTGGGAAGTCTTTTTGGGGCCTGGGATGGGGGTGAGGGGGGAGGTGTAGGGGCAGGTGTATGCACTTCTGTCTGACTGGCTGTGCTTTTCCAGCTCCGTATTTATTGACTCTAGCTTCCAGCATCTGTAGCCCTTACTGTCTCCAGGGTTCTGTTCTCCTGCTTTTGCTGGTTTTCCACGGTGGAGGTTGTGTACTCGGCTTTGTAGCTACCTGCAATTTTATGACCATGCGGCACAACTTGCAGCAAGATTCTTCCATGTACCAATGTCAATTTGCCTCATTTTTTAGTGAGTCCTTTAGAATTTCCTTAAAACATTTTTTAATGTTTCGAAACTTTCTCCATAAGATTTAGTGCCAGTCTTAGGTTGCAAATAGAGGATTCTTCCAAAAGTTAGTTAATTGGATATGGTGTCTAGAGTACCAGAGTTGATCACACGATTATAATGCTGGAGGAATTAAGTCTAATACAGGCACCACAATTTGGGATGTTAGCCAGCATTGTGATTTGTGGTAACAGTCCCTCTATAAACTGCTAGTATCAATTGACCCCATTGATACTAGACCATCTTAGAAAAACATATACAAACAATTTGATCTTTCTGCAAATGCATTTCCTACTTATGTTAATTGTACTGGCTGGTGTTCTCACTTTTAAGGCTGAAGGAGACCTGATGGAGCCAAAAGCACAGTAGGGGAGAATTGCTTATAAGAGCTGAGCATACAGGGGGAAGACAACAGTAACTTAAGATAGACAATGTAGGCGTGTAGACTGCCAGCCTCTGGCTGAGATTGCCATGCATTTGAATCCCCTGAATGTTCAAGCTGAATTTCACAGACATAATGTTAAGTGGATGATCAAATCTTACCATGATATCATGATTCATTTTGGGCATAGCGAGCGAGAAATCTGTTCCAGCTAGTTCACTCTGCTATTAACATATATATCCAATGTCAGTCCAACTTTCTACTGATCATTTCTCACTCCTCTATGACAGTAAAAGACTGTACGTAGATGGTGTCATTCAGAAAATTCAACCGCTAAAATAAGTTTGTACTATCTAATAAAATGTGTCCAAGCAATTAGATTTTTTTTGGAGTAACATAGAACATCTTGGAGGATCAAACGCAGCATGTTAGGGAGAAGTGACACTAAGACACCATCAGAGAAAGTTGGATTTGGAAGCCATAGGGCACGGTTGGTATCTGGCCAGTGTGCAAGCTGTCAGGAGAGAAATTTGAATGTGGGAGAGTGGTACCTGAAATGCTGTCTACTGAAGAAGTCAATTTAGTAATCAATTCAAAGTGTATTGTTGAATAATTAGCTGCCTCCATTCTCTCTCATACCTGTTAAACCAGTCTGTGGACTGCTATAGAAAAGCAACGGGACTTGAAACATCTTGCAGATGCCTATAAACATTACAATAGTCTCACAGAATGGTGCCATCCATCAAAATGTAGTTGTGACCTTGCAATTAAAATAAAAATCCACAGAGTCCTCTTAAATTGTTTCTTTCTTTTGTGTTTCATAGAACCGAGCAATTGCTACTCCAAATCAGGGAGTGTGGGATATGCGTGGCAAACAGTTCTACAATGGGATCGAGATCAAAGTCTGGGCCATCGCCTGCTTTGCACCACAGAAGCAGTGCAGGGAGGAGGTGCTGAAGTATGGAGGTTTTCTTTAAGTGTAAACAAAGAACAAACTTGCAGTTATTACAATTTCTTGAACATCCTACGGACATGCCAAGCACCTCCTAGATTTTTGGAATTTAGTCGTCATTGTTTTTAAGCAGGCCATTATTTATGTAATTGTTATCAGTCCATCTGTTTGTGGTGGTGATCGTTGAAAAATGCATGTGGCCATGGAATTGACAGATGTTTTCTGCTCTTGAATAGTGCTGTGCTATCTTTTAAATCCAGCTGAACAACCAAAAGACAACCCCTCCAGCAATGTAATATATTAGTGTAGAATCATGCAGCACAGGAGGTGGCCATTCAGGTTATCATGTTTGTGTCAGCTTGGTGGAAGAGCTGTCCAGGAAATTCCATTTCCCTGTTCTTTCCTCCTGACCCTGTATTTGTTTCTGCTCGTGTATTTATCCAGTTTTGTGAAATGTTGTCATTGAACCTGCTTCCACCACCCTTTCAATAAATAAATTCAAGATCACCAGAACTCACTGTGTAGAGAAAATGTGCCTCCTGTCACCTCTGGTTCTCTTGCCAATCACCTTCAGTCCACGTCCTCTGTTTCAGTCCACATCCTCTGTTGCTAACCCTTCTGCAACTGTAGTTGGAGAAGCTGGAGTAGTTTACTCTTATTAAAACCATTCATACGTTTGGACACCTCTATAAAATCTTTTAACCTTCTGTACTCAGAGGAGAATAACTGCAGCTTCTCCAATATTTCTGCAGTGTTGAACAACCTCATTCCTACCATTCTAGTAGATGTCTTCAGCTTTCCAATACCATGATATCCATTCTGAAGTATTTGACAAATCTGTTAGAATCTTCACAGAATGTGACAAAGTGAACAAGGGTGAAAAGCAGAAATATATTTGGATGATCAAAAACCATTCAATTAGGTACCGCACAACAAGTTTACGCACAAAATTAGGATTCCTAGGATTTGGGGTGTAATATATTAACATAAAATATAGATTAGCTAATGGACAGAAAACAATAATTTTGAAAAAGAAGAAAATATTTTTGGGTTGGTGGGCTATAATAAGCGGTGCACTGGAAGGATACATAATGAGGTCCCAGTTGTTTATAATCTATATTCATCCCTTACATAGAGTCAAAGAGCTGTATAGCATGGAAACAGACCCTTTGTTCCAACTGGTCCATGCCGACCAAATATCCTAAATTAATCAAGTCCCATTTGCCAGCATTTGGCCCATATCCCTGTAAACTCTTCCGGTTCATGTACACATCCAGATGGCTTTTAAATGTTGTCATTGCACCAGCCCCCACCACTTCCTGTGGCAGTTCATTCCAATCACGTGCCACCCTCTGCGTGAAAAAATTGCCCCTTCAGTCCCTTTTAAATCTTTCCCCTCTCACCTTAAACCTACACCCTCTAGTTTTGGACTTCGTTATCCTGGGGAAAAGACCTTGTCTATTCACTCTATCTAGCCCGTCATGATTTTATAAACTTCTATAAGGTTCACCCTTCAGCTGCCGATGCTCTAGGGAAAATAGTCCCAGCCTATTCAGCCTCTCCCTATAGCTCAAACCCTCCAAACCTGGCAACATCCTTGTAAGTCTTTTCTCCACCCTTTCAAGTTTCACAACATCCTTCCTATAGCAGGGAGACCAGAACTGAACGCAGTATTCCAAAAGTGGCCTAACCAATATCCTGTACAGACACAACATGATCTCCCAACTTCTATACTCAATGTACTGACCAATAAAGATTGGGAGATTGAGTGTAACAGGTCCAGGTGGATGATGATACAATGTTACAAAGGTTAGTAAGCAATGAAGAGAGCATGTAAAGAGACTATAGAAAGATGTGGACAGGGTGGCTAAACAGGAGATAAGAATAGCAGATGGAATAGTGTGGTGGTGTGAAATTAGCCATTTTGGTCAAAAATTTTAAATGGAGGGGTTGGAAAATATTTAGGACAGGTGATGGTCAAGTGGTATTATGGTTAGACTATTGATCTAGAGACCCAGGTAATGTTCTGGGGACCTGGGTTCAAATCCTGCCAAGGCAAATGGTAGAATTTGAATTTGGTAAATTAAGGATATAATAATGACCGTGACATCACTGTTGATTGTTGGAAAAACTCAGCTGGTTCACTCATGCCTTTTAGGGAAGGAAACTGCTGTCCTTAACTGTCCGGCCTACACGATTCCACACTAATGTAGCTAACTCTGAACTGCCCTCTGGACAATAAGAGATGAGCAATAGATACTGGCTTGGCCAGCAATACCTATGTCCTGTGAGTGAACTTCTTTAACAAAAAAGGTCTTGGGGGATCTGGTTATTCTTGTACACAAATACTAGCATGTTAGCATAAAGACACAACAAACAATTAGGAAACCAGATGGTATGTTAGCTTTTTTGCAAAGAATAGGGTTGTAAGATTTTTTAAAAATTGTTATATTTATACAGGCTGTTGGTGAGGCCACATCCTAGTATACCGTGGTCTCTGCACCCTAGCAATGATGTGCTTAGAGTCATAGAGTTGAACAGCATGGAAACAGACCCTTTGGTCCAACTCATCCATACCAAGCGGATATCCTAAATCGATCTAGTCCCATTTGCCGCATTTGGCAGATATCCCTTTTTACCCTTCCTATTCATGCACCCATTCAGATGACTTTTAAATGTCGTAAATATACCAGCTTCCACCACTTCCTCTGGCAAATCTCTCTAACCCCTGCCCCCACCCTAGCATGAATATGTTGCCCCTTAGGTCCCTTTTAAATCTTTCCCTTCTCACCTTAAACCTATGCCGTATAGTTGTGGATTCCCCTACCCTAGGGAAAACGATCTTGGCTATTCACCCTATTCATGCCCCTCATGAGTGAGCACAATAAAAATTCACTGGACTAGATTCCTAGAACGACAGAATTTTTTTTAATTCATTCATGGGATATGGGTGTCATTGGGTAGGCCAACGTTATCGCCCATCCCTAAATCCCTACAGGGTAGTTAAGCGTCAGCCACATTGTTGTGATTCTGGGGTTGCATGTAGGCTGGACTAGGTGAGGACAGCAGATTTCTTTCTCGAAAGGACGCTAATAAACCACGTGGATTTTCACAGCAATCAACTGTAGTTACACGGTCACCACGAGACTAGCTTTTAACTCCAGAATATTTTTCTTACAAATTCAAACACACATCCCCAGAACATTAGAGCAGTTCTTAAAAAAAAGTTATACTGGAGTCGATCACTAACTCAGTTTCTGTCTCCACAGATGCTGCTGGACATGCTGAGTTTCTCTAGCGTTCTGTATTTGTCCACACAAAATTTGCCTAGGGTTCTGGATTACTGGTTTAGTGACATTACCTACTACTGAACCGTTTGCCTTTAAGGAGTGATTGAATGGAATAAGCCTGTTTCCCTTCAGTTTTGAAGAAAGGTGCTTAACAGGGTAGGTGTAGAGAAAATGTTTCTTCTAATTGAGGAAGCTAGTGTATGAGGTCATAAATTCTGAAAAAGGAGTTGGCCATTTAAGATTGAGGTGAGGAAATATTTTTTCAGAGTTGTGAATTGTAGAATTCTCTACCTCAGAGAGTTGTCAATGTAGCTCATTCAGTATATGCAAAACTGGGTTCATGAATTTTTGGGTATTAAGGGATAATGTGGGAAGGTGGTGTTGAGATAGAAAATCATTCTTGATTTTGTTTAATAAAGCAGCCTACAAGGGCCAAATTACCTAGTTCTTTACTTATTGTGAGCCTTACAAGTGCATGACCCTTCTTTTGCTGCCTCATTTCAACCTTTATATCTTCAATCTAGGGGTTTATAGTTTGATGCCCTTTCTTTCTCCCTAGTGACAATGTGTTTGTTCTGTGACTAAACCATCTCCCTTTGTAGTAAAGACAGGAAATGCTGAAAATATTCAATATGTCAAGTAGCATCTGTGAAGAAACAAGCAGAATGAATGTTTCAGCCTGAAGACATTTCATCAGAGTTGAGAAAGTTAGTTGTGATGGAGGATGGTGTAAAGAAGAATAAAAAGCATGTTCTGTTATCACAGCGTAGAGTTCAGGAGACATGAGGGCTTCAGCAGCGTGTGAGCTAAGGTGATGATGGAGTTGAGTCATTTTGCTGAATTTTACCTTTTACTCAATATTTTAACTCCAGTGTGTATAATTTCCTACCTGACAGCTGGTTCTGAGCAAGTACAATATGTGCTGGAATTTGATAAAATCACAATAAATTACAGCAACTCATTTGAAACTAGGCAAAGGATATTTCTCGTCCTAGCTGCTCCAAGATCTTACAGGAAAAATAGAGAAAATGTAACCTCTCCTAGAAAAACTAAGTAATTTGACAACAGGACGCCTATCTCTCTAAGCAGGCACAGAGTCATACACGCAGCAATAGAGATACACGGTAAGATGTAAGAAATTAAAGACACAAAACGGTACTATTAGAATAGTAACCCACATCAGCATCATTTGCCGCAAAAGGATAGCTGCTGAATGCTGGTATTTGAGAAACATATTTGATGTGATAACGTACAAATGGGTGGATATTTCATGCAAATCTTGAGTGTGTGTCCCCGCCACAAAGGAAAATGTCTTTTTTGAATAATTTTTGTTTCATGATGGCTGAATTTGGTGAACTGTATGTATATTAATAAGGTGGAAAGCGTAATTGCTGAGATTAGGGAAGGAGAATCTTCCATGTGTCTGTCTGACTTCCCAGCTTGCCCAGGCAGATCCCCTGAAAGCACTAAATTCAGAAATCACAACAGTCCCAAATGCCCATAGAGCTCAATATTTGAAAGTTTTTTTGTCTTCAAACATACAGGAGTTTTACTGACCAGCTGCGAAAAATATCTAAGGATGCAGGAATGCCTATCCAGGGTCAACCATGTTTCTGTAAATATGCACAAGGCGCTGATAGTGTGGAACCGATGTTCAGGCATCTGAAGAACACCTATTCAGGACTCCAGCTTGTAATTGTTATTCTACCTGGGAAAACCCCCGTCTATGGTAAGAGTTGTAGAAGATTCATTTGACTCTGAATCAATTGCTTCTGAAATACAGTGGCACCAACTGGCAACAAACTCTTAGTATTTGGCTCTCCTTTTCCTAATGAACTTGCATCTAGTAACTGATTGTCTGTTCTTATCAATTATGTCCATGATTCTGATTCTGAAAATGTGTTCAGTCAATTATATTGTAGGGTGGCATGGTGGCTTGCTGGTTAGCACTGCTGCCTCACAGCGCCAGTGAATAGGTTTTAATTCCACCCTCGGACGACTGCCTGTGTGGAGTTTGCACATTCTCTCCATGTCTTCATGGGTATCTGCTGGGTGCTCCAATTTTCTCCCACAGTCCAAGGATGTGCAGGTTAGGTGGATTGGCCATGCTAAATTGGCCGGCGGGTTCAGAGATGTACAATCTAGGTGAGATAGCAATGGGAAATGCAGGGATAGGTAAGGGTGGAAGGGTCTGGGTAGGTTACTATTCGGAGGGGTGATATGGACTCAATGGGTCAAATGGCCTGCTCCCACACTAGGGATTCTATGGATTCTATATTGAGTGTGCAATGAGTTTAAGTAATTAACAGATGAGCCCTACAGGCCAGGAAGATCTAGAGTTCAATCTTCGCTAAATTAACTAATCTCAGCAGTGGAAACAAAAGTGACAGCACAATGGAATGTAGCAGCCTGGATTAGAAAAAGGTAATTTGGGTAGTGTTCCCATTTCTAATTATGATTCAGTAATACCTGTAGAAATGCACTTGTTGACTAACTGAAGACATGACTGATTCAATTCTGATTCTCCCTTGTGGTCAGATAATTTGGCAGCACTCTGATATTAAAAATGTCAGTTTGGGAAAAAAAATTAAAACTTGCATTTATATGGCACTTTCCATGAACCTAACCCCACCACCCCTTGGATGTCTTTAAAACACTTTATAGCCAACACATTATTTCTAAGTATTGTCAGTGAGCTCCTACAAACAGTGATGTGATATGACCAGATAATCTAATTTGAAAGGTAAAGTATGTCCAGGGCACCGGATAAAACCCTGATTTACTTAAAAATAGTGTCATGGATTATTTAACATTGGCCTGAGAGAGCAAATGAGTCCTCAATTTAACATCTCATCTGAAAGATGGCACCTCCAAAAGTAGAGCAAACCCTGAGTACTGCACTGGAGTGTCAGCTTTGAATTTTGTGCTTGTGTCCTGGAGTGAGACATAAACCCACAATGTTATACCTTGGAGATGCGTGTGCTGTCAACTGACCTATGTAAGTCGTTTGGCAAAGATTTGAGGCTTAGGAGTGGATGAAATGGGATATAATCAGCACAGTATTTCCTCTTCTCTGTTATGCTGTATTCCATTTCTTGAAAATTGCTGAGGTTATTTATTGATAGACAACTGAACTTGTATATTAAATATGGATGGGGCCTATGTATCACCTTTGCTTGAGAATCTTAACACTGGAGATAAGAGTTGCATTAATTTGGGACAAATTTTCCTTTATTGAAAATTGTACTCCCTTAACAAGTGATTTGCATACAGCTTATGATTTTTTTTAATGAAGAGATTTTCACCAATATGGCTGAAGGTTCTAACCCTTATTTGGAACAATGATTAACTTCAACAGCCAATCAAATTGTCCCATCAGTGAAGCATTTGGATCGCTGCAATCCAGTGACAACTGAGATATTTTAGGCCTTCAGGCTTGATAGTTCAGCCAGTTTATCTAGTAAGGTCTTAAGTATTATGTGTTAAATGAAAATGCTTTTTCTCAAAAGTCTTGGAACTTTAATTTTAGAAAAAGTACTGCTGGACAGATTGCTCTTTTTAACTTAAAATATTCAAAATAAGCACATTTGAATTTCAAGTACTAATTTTTGATTTTGTTTTCCCAATTTAGCTGAGGTGAAGCGAGTAGGTGATACCCTCCTTGGGATGGCAACGCAATGTGTTCAGGTGAAAAATGTTGTGAGGACGTCTCCTCAGACATTGTCTAACCTCTGCCTAAAAATCAATGTGAAATTGGGTGGAATCAACAACATACTGGTACCTCATCAACGGTAAGCTTCATGTTTTATAAGTACAAATAAGGATTGGACTGGGGTGGTATTAGATAGCTTGTGCATTTAACACCATTTTTATACCATCAATGCAGTAAATTATTGAGGAACTTTGCAAGGTCCTACCTCTGATACAGCAGGCAACTTAGCAAAACGTCATTGGTACTTCGGGATTCTTTTTTAATCTGTTGATACTGTGGATGAAAATTGAGCAATATATATGCAATTTACCAGTAAGTCTCAAGCTATGTCCAAAATTCAATTTAATAGCATGGTACTTTGGAAAAATGCACTTCTTGTTCTTCCAAGCTTCCTAGAGATGCCGTGTGCATTATCATCAGAATTTTCTTTCTTTCAAAGGGTATGGGCATTGCTGGTAAGTTGAAAATTAATTGCCTATCTCTAATTATCATTTGAGAAGCTGATGGTAAGCTGTTTTTGTAAATACAACCATAAGGCTCTCTCGTCGATTTCAGAGGACAGTTGAGAGTCCATTGTTATTCTGTGCATTTGGAGCAGGTATATCAGATTAGGCAGACCCCAGATTTGCTTCTCTAAAGGCCACTAGTGAACCAGATGGGTTTAATATGACAATATCATAGTTTTATGCTCACCATGATTGTTACTAGCTTTTTATTCCAGATTTATTTAACCATTTTAATCTAAATTCCCCAGCTGTTATGCTAGGATTTGAATTGATACCTTTGGATTGTTAGATCAGCCTTCTAGATTACTAATCCAGTAAGGTAACCAGAAGGCTTCTGCTGTCCTTGAAGTAATGAAAAATCAGTGGCATATAAAGTATATGTAAGATTGCACCAAATTTTTTAGAAGAAAAGTTGTTTTTTCTTCTCCACAAAAATGCACAGTTTGATACGAAGACAAATAGACATTGCCAGCTAGACTGTATTCTATGCATATTGATGGCACAGCAACTGACCTTTGGAAGTGCACAAAAAGCAGATTTTATTTCACTGTTAAGAGACAGGCATGCATGCATTAACCTGTCTGCCAGGAAGCAAGGCACAAGTCCCAATGCTTTTCCATGTTCCGGATGGAAGTTGCATGGAATTGCCTTTCATTTTATTTCATGGGATTCTTTTCAGAAAGAGAAGGAAATTAATTCAACATTTTCTACATATAAACACCCTTTAGTGCAAATTATGGTTATGGAGATAGCTAGAATCCATATAATTTCGAGCATTTGGTTTAACAGAATTATCTTTGAAAGACTTCCTTCAAGGAGTTAAAAATGTATGGGAAGCATACTTGTATACAATATGTCATCTTTAGCATAAAGTCAACTTGCTATCAAATAATTTATTTGTACATATAAAATAATTTTGTGCAATTTAATTGGCTGGAGCAATAGAAACAAAAGCAGCAAGGTGTTCTTTTCAATTTGACAGTCCTTCCTGAAGGATCCAAGGGAGTTGAAAATAAACACGTTTTGGAATTAAGCACATTGATTTTGTTTTCAATCAACTCTTTTTCAATTAATGAGAATATCATTCTAATGTGACATAAAGCTGCCTATGCTTTGTAAAGGCTTGTTTTTAATTAAAACATTCCTCAAATCTGAAGGTAAAAATACAGCAGTTGTACCCTCTTAGATACTATACTCTTGAGGAATTTAATTGCCTACTTGATATTCAGGTACAAGTTCAAGGCCACAAGAACCTAAGAGCAGAATGAAACCATCCCGCCCTTTGAGTCTACTCCACTATTTAATCATGGCTGATGTATTTCTCAACCTCATACTCTTACTTTTTCATCATAACTCTTGAACCCCTTACTGATCAAGAACTCCTCTATCGCTGTCTTAAATATACTGAATGACTTGGCCTCCACAGCCTTTTGTGACAATGAGCTCCGTAGATTAACCATCCCCTGAAGAGATTCCTCCTAATCTGGTTCTAAAGGGTCATCTCTTCACTCTGAGGGTGTTCTCTTGGGTCTTACTGTCTCGTATTGGTGGAAACATCTTCTCCACATCTACTGTATCCAGGCCTGTATTCTGTAAGGTTTAGTAAGATTCCAACCCTACCTCCCCATCCTTCCACTCCTCCTATGACAAGACCTTCATCCTTGGGACCATTCCAAGTGTGGTCTATTCAGCCTCAGTAGTACATCTGTGCTGTTGTATTCTAGCCCTCTTGAAATAAATTCTAACATTGCATTTGCCTTCCTAACTGCCAACTGAAAATGCACATTAACCTTAAAAGAATCCTGAACTCGGACCCTCAACTCCCTTTGTACTTTAGCTTTCCGAAGCGTTTCCTATTGAGAAAATAGTCTATGCCTGTAATCTTGCTACCAAAGTGCATAACCTTACACTTTCACACATTGTTATTCTATCTGCCATTTCTTTGCCCACTCTGCTAATCTGTCCAAGTCCTTCTGCATTCTCCCTGCTTCCTCAACAGTACCCCACTCTACCTTTCTTTGTGTCATGTGCAGACTTATCAAAATTGCCCTCAGTTCCTTCATCCAGCACTGTCTTCAAAGTATGTATGAAATTGTGAAGGAAGGTTCCTCTACATTCATAATAAAACAACTTGATTCAAAAATCTATTTTACTTTTATCATGAAACTTACTAGAGTGAAATAATTTTAAAGCAAAAAGGTACCAGGATGAAATCATTTTCGTTTAGTGTTGGTTACATTTTTTTTATTCATTTGTGGGATGTGGGCATCGCTGGCTGGCCGACATCTTATCGCCTGTCCCTGGTTGCCCTTGAGAAGGTGGTGGTGAGCTGTCTTCTTGAACCACAGCAGTCCACCTGCTGTGAGTTGACCCAGAATGGCCTTAGGGAGGGAATTCCAGGATTTTGACCCAGTGACAGTTAAAAAACTGTGATATATTTTCAAGTCAGGATGGTGAGTGGCTTGGAGGGGAACTTGAAGTTGGTGGTGTTCCCATATGTCTGCTGCCCCTGTGCTTCTAGATGGAAGTGGTTGTGGGTTTGGAAGGTGCTGTCTACGGATCTTTGGTGAATTTCTGCAGTGCATCTTGTACATAGTACACACTGATGCAACTGAGTGTCGGTGGTGGAGTGAGTGGATGCTTGTGGATGTGGTGCCAATCAAGGGGGCTGCTTTGTCCTGGATGGCGTCAAGCTTCTTGAGTGTAGTTGGAGCTGCACTCGTCCAGACGAGTTGGGAGTATTCCATCACACTTCTGATTTCTGCCTTGTAGATGGTGGACAGACTTTGAGGAGTCCGGATGTGAGTTACTTGCTGCAGTGTTCCTAGCTTCTGATCTGTAGCCACTGTGATTCATGTGGTGAGTCCAGTTGAGTTTCTGGTCAATTTTAACCCCCAGGATGTTGATAGTGGGGGATTCAGTGATGGTAACACTGCCAACAGGCAGTGGTTAAATTGTCTCTTAGCGGTAATGGTCATAGCCTGGCATTTGTGGGGCACGAATGTTACTTGCCACTTGTCAGCACAAGCCTGGCTATTGTCCAGATCTTGTTGCGTTTGAACGTGGACAGCTTCAGTGTCTGAACAGTCGCGAATGGTGCTGAACATTGTGCAATCATTGGCGAACATTCCTACCTCTGACGCTATGATGGAGGGAAAGTCATTGATGAAGCAGCTGAAGATGGTTGGGCCTAGGACACTACCCTGAGGAATTCCTGCAGAGATGTTCTGGAGCTGAGATGACTGACCTCCAACAACCACAACCATCGTTCTATGTGTCAGGTATGATTCCAGCCATTGGAGAGTTCACTCCCTGATAGCCATTGATTCCAGTTTTGCTAGGGCTCTTTGATGCCATGCTTAGTCACATGCAGCCTTGATGTCAAGGGCTATAACTGTCGCTTCACCTCTGGAATTCAGCTCCTGCGTCCATATTTGAACCAAGGCTGTAATGAGGACAGGAGCTGAATGGCCCTGGCAGAACCCAAACTGGGCATCACTGAGCAGGTTATTGCTGAGCAGGTGCTGCTTAATAGCACTATTGGTGACACCTTCCATCACTTTACTGATGATTGAGAGTAGATTGATGGGGCAGTAATTGGCCAGGTTGGAATCATCCTGCTTTTTATGTACAGACATACTTGGGCAATTTTCCACATTGTCAGGTAGATACCAGTGTTGTAACTGTACTGGAACAGCTTGTCTATGGGAGCAGCAAGTTCTGGAGCACAAGTGTTCAGTACTGTTGTTGGAATGTTGTCAGAGCCCGTAGCCTTTGCAGTAACCAGTGTCTCCTGTTTCTTGATATCATGTGGAGTGAATCGAATTGGCTGAAGGCTGGTATCTGTAATGCTGGGGACCACTGGAGGATGCCAAGATGGATCATCCACTTGGCACCTCTGCTGAAGATTGCTGCAAGAGCTTCAGCATTATCTTTTACACTGATGTGCTGGGCTCCTCCATCATTGAGGATGGAGCCTTCTCCTACAGTGAGTTGTTTAACTATCCACCACCATTCACAACTGGATGTGGCAGGACTGCAGAGCTTAGATCTGATCTGTTGGTTGTGGGATCACTTAGCTCCGTCTTATCACCTTGCTGCTTATATTGTTTGTCATGCAATTAGTCCTGTTTGGTGGCTTCACTGGGTTGGCACATCATCTTCAGGTATGCCTGCTGCTGCTCCTGGTATACATGCCTGCACTCTCCATTGAACCAGGGTTGATCCCGTGTCTTGATGGTAATGATTAAGTGGGGGATATGCTGGGCCATGAGGTTATCGATTGTGCTGGAGTACAGTTCTGCTGCTGTTGATGCCCCACATGGATGCCCAGTGTTGAGCTGCTATGTCTGTTTGAAGTCTGTCCTATTTAGCACGGAGATAGTGCCACACAACACTATGGAGGTTGTTCTCAATGTGAAGTTGGGACTTCCTCGCTACAAGCTCTGTGCGGTGATCACACTTAACAATACTGTCATGGATAGATGCATCTGCAGCTGGCAAAATTGGCAAGGATGAAGTCAAAGATGTTATTCCCTCATTTTGGTTCCCTCACACCTGCCGCAGACCCAGT